CAAGATATGTCAAGATATATACCTAAGTATACTTCTGTGGTAATATGTCAAGATATATAACCTACAGGGTATACTTCTGTTCAATCTGTCAAGATATATAGGTACACTATACTGCTGTGTAATCCGTAAAGATATATACGTACAGTATACTATTGTGTAATCTGCCAAGATATATACGTACAGTATACTTCTGTGTAATCTATCAATATATATATATAGGTACAGTATACTTCGATGCAATAAGTTAAGATATATAGGGTCAGTTATTTGTCAAGATATATAATTATAATCTATCAAGATATATAGGTGCAGAATACATCTGTGTTACTCTCGTCTTTCGTTTTTTATTTATGTACGCATTTTAAGTGTGTCAGAGCTCCAGTGATGTCTCGTTTTGAATCGAAAAATTTACAAAAAATATACCATATTTAATTTAAAATATGAAACATATATACTCTATAACAAATCATATTTTACTCGATCTTGGATCTTGCCTCGTATAATTTTCCGAATCAAGAAAATCACTTCATATTTACACAGTACTCAAAGTAACTCTTGCTCTTGTGGTTGATTATTTTTGTGCGAGTTATTTTTTACATACTAGTATTTGAGACTTTTTATAACACCACAAAGAAGTTTAGGAGGAATATAGGAGTCAGCTTGTTGGTCATCCGTCGGTCCGTCGGTCAACATCATGATTTCCGGATAATAGCTAGAGCACAGGCACTAGACACAATTATTTACCCATATACGCTCATAATACTATATATAAAGAATAACGGCCCCTTATGAGAGAAAACTATCATGCAAAACAAACAAAAACTGTTCTGTAAAAAATCACCAGATCACTATTTTGTCTTTGTGGTTGTATTGCATTTTGACCCCTAGGGTCAAAGTCACTGTTACTAAAATTAGAAAATTGGTTTCCGGGCAATAATTAGAATAGAAAAGAGTAAGTGTAATCAAGGTCAAGGTCACAGTTACTAAAAATAGAAAAAATTGTTTCTGGACAATAACTTGAGTTAGGAATGATTTATTGTAATCAAATTTCGTGTACAACAAGCTCCTATGACGACCTCGGTTGGTATAGCAGTGGGACCCCCTTGGGTCATGGTTACCGTTACTAAAAATGGAAAATTGGTTTCTGGACATCAAGTTAAGTTAGGAATGAGTTATTGTAGTCAAACTTGGTGTAAAGCAAGCTTATATTATATGAAGATCCCGGTTGGTATTGCATTTCGACCCCTTGGGGTGAAGGTCAAGGTCACAGTAAATAAAAAAGAAAAATAATTTAGGGACAATAACTTGAGTTAGGAATGAGATATTGTAATCAAACATGGTGTAAAGAAAGCATAAATAAAGAACCCGGTTGGTTTTGCATTTAGACCCCTATGGTCAAGGTCAAGGTCTCCGTTCCTAAAAATAGAAAAATGGTTTCCGGACAATAAGTAGAGTTAGAAATGAGTTATTTTAATCAAGCATGGTGTATAGCAAGCTTATATGAAGACCCCGGTTGGTTTTGCAATTAATTGAAATAATTGTTTGTACACAGTTTACATTTCATTTACTATAGGTTGAGTTCAAATTTTTCTTCAGACCACTTATTTTTGATTGAGTCAAAGTTACTTGTGCAGGTATCACTAATTTTTAGTGATAGCTCAAGTTAATCAAAGCACAGAAGGCGCTGAATTTGTTTGGGTCTCAGAATGTCAGAAAGGTGAAGGTTGTGAGATTATAAACCAATTTGTTTGTAAATTGTCACCAAATTCTGTTTCTAGAGTTATAAGACTAATTTACAACAATGATATTCAACTCAATGCTTATTTGGCTTAATCAATTTTTAAAAAAATGAGTTGCTTGAACTGGGGTTTCGAACTCCGGACCTTTCGCTTCTGAAACCAGCGTGTAACCCTAGAACCACGGGGAGTTTATAAGAATAACAACCTGAAGAATACCATATTATTCTTAATTAAAGTGTGTAACCTTTATTAGTTTCGATATATTTTGTTCAAGGTAAACCTGTTGTATAACAAGTAAATAATCATGGAGCTGAATATAAGCATTTATTTTATGCTTTTTAGTAGATACTGATTTATCCGTGAAAATTATATTTGATAATTTTACAGTGAAAATTATCAAAATATAATTTCACACTTTTCAATGACGAAACTACTTTTATAAGATTTTCCCCATGTGGTACCTCAATTTCATTTTTGCTGACAATTCTGACAAATTAGAAAAAGCAAAGCTGAAATTGATAAATAACATCTTATCATATCATTTTAATTCATCTTGTGAACTTTAAAAACAGTATTCTTAATAAACAATTTTGTTTTTAAAGCCCACTCGATGAAATAAAATTTCATCCTTAGAATAACACAATATTAGAAATCTTCGACCAATCGGATACTATTTTTTTTTCGTTACGAAAATTAATGCGCCTGTCATTTGACAATCTTTACGCAGTGATCTCCCCTTAATTTTTCGGCGTTAATGTACATATGAAGGGAAGTATCCGCTTCGAGGAGTTTGGACTTCTTTCGGCATTTGCAAATAAGAACATCAGGGTCTGAAATTTGGCTACCATTATTTGTTTGGTCTGACGACCCAAACAAATAAAAATTGGTACTACCAAGTACCTTTTTCTAATGGCATACAAAACACTGTGGTTTTTGATAGTTTCCCTAATTTAATGTGTTTTCTGCTTAAAATAGTGGTTTAGATTAAAAAATCATTATATGTTGTTTAAATCAATACAAATTCTATTTCACACGTGCATATCTGTGACACCTATATTGGACGAGGCGTAGAATTCAGTACTGTAAACTGCACAACAATGATTTATTATAGTATTCGTGTCCAAATATGCTTTAGTATTTTCTTTCTTTCTTTTTCAATCAATCAATCACTCAATCAAAAAATCTATCAATCAATGATCGTAATTTAATTATATTTTCAGAATGTCCTGGATCAGAAGAAAAGGTACAAAGAGCCAGGCAAATGTTGAAAGAATTAAAGGAGGATAAATTGAAAAAAACTCTAGACCCTACAAAAATTCTTAATTACAGCGTCAAATGGAGTGCTACTGGTAATGCAATAATGATCGGTCAAAGCAATACTATTAAAGTAGTCAATATCTACAAGTAGGAATTTTTGTTTTAAAAATTTAATAGACCCTCATTTTAACAAAATTATTATTAGGTTCTTTCTAGACATGTTGACACTTTTTTATTTCAAGCCGATTTGCTCTAGTGGTAAATGCGAACATGAGACGTGGAACAGGCAAGACAATTTAATAGCAAACTTATTTACCTCTGATATTCTAGCTGGATGATTTTATCACAAGAAATGATCCAAAATCCCTTGTTGGATTCGACCCTTCAAGAGAATGCATTAGCGGTAAATTAAAGAAATTGCGTAAGTGGTTCATTGAAGGAAATGAGTAAGTAGTTCATTAAAGAAAATGAAAGAAATGCGTAAGTGGTTAATTAAAGACAATGCGTAAGTGATACATTAAAGACATGCGTAAATGGTTCGTTAAAAATGCGTAAATGTTTCATTTAAGAAAAATGCCCCTAAAATGGTTTTTTTAAAAAAAATTTCGTAAGTGGTTTTATTTACCCGCCTAAAAAATTGAGAAATAAAATTTTCCCGGGCCCCCTATTGAACCCATATCAATTTTTGTAAATTTTCCCCGATATTTTTAAAAACCCAAAATTGGGGAAAAATTTTTTAAAACCCATCACATATTTTCATTACTTGTATTTATTTCTTAAGGGTTTTGGGGATTTAAATTTTTTTAAAATTTGTTTAAACAAGAATAAAAAGGGATTTTTTTAACAAAAATCCAATTTTATGTCCCCATATTTGGGCCGCATTTTTAAGTCATAAATTTAAAAGCTACAAGACACCATTTTCTTTAAACCCGATAACGGGAGCCCAAAATTAAAAGTTTTTTACCCTTTGGGTTTTCCCTGTTCCGAAGCTCTCCCCAAAAACCAGATCTTTTTTTAGCCCCCAAAAAGTTGGGGAAAAATTTCCCCAAAAACGTAAAATTTATCGACTTTTTTGAAAAAATATATTTATTTAAATTTTAAAGGGAAACAAAAAAATTCGATAAATTTCAAATTTGTGAAAATTTGGGGGAAAGGGGTTTTTTAAAAAAGGGGTTTTCTACATAAAATTTAAATATTTCCGGTACCTTTTTTAACGCTGGGGAAATTGAAAAACCCGGGGGCGTGTTTTGCAGCTTTTTATAAAAACCCGGCTCAAATAGGGTCGCAGAGGGTTTTAAATAATTGATGGGAGATGTAGTACCCCCCGTTTTTTGGGTGGAAAAAATCGTTTTAAAATTTTTGCGTTTCACTGTGCGAAAAATTTAGATATCGGGCCCTTTTTTTGGGCCCCATATTGATAACAAATTTTAGTTTCCTTAAAACCCTTTTGGCCCAAAAAAATGTTTAAATATAGATCCGATAATAACAAATTTATCGCCAAAAGTAAATTGACATACATGAACTTTTAATTGTAATACTCAACGCTTCAACTAAATATATAACCTAATCAATTAATAAATGTATTGAATTGTGATTTAAGCAAATAAACATTTTAAACATGATATAAATGTTCCGTAATCATGCATACTCGTATTTTAATGACGACAGGAAATGTATTTGCTGTAATGTCCGTTCATTTATTGTACATTTTTTCGGCCGCATTTAAATAAAGTTCGGCAAGTGTGAAAAAATATTTAGTTTTTCTATCTAATGAATAGCATGTACTAAATAATCATTATGCACTCTTCTCTTTACTGCACTTGTTTGATCATTGGGTCAAAGCATTGGGTCTCATGAATTTTCCACGATTTATATGAAAATGAATATATCATTTATCATTTTATCATTCATATGCACATAAATTACACAAAATCTTTCAAACTATCGAAATAACCTTAAGCAGTTAGGAACGAGGTATAAACAGAAAAATCTGCGAGATTCGAGGTGTATCAGAATAACCGAAAAAAGAGTACAAAAGTATATATTAATTTTTTTTATTTTTGTCATTTTAACGTTGTCTCGATATTAGGAGCAGACATTGAACAAGATAATCTTTACTTGAATAATATCGGGTCAATATAGAAATTGAGATTCTGTTCTGTACCGCTGTAATGAATAAAAGTGATGTCCATGGAATAATGACCCGCAGCTATTACACTGAAGAATTGATGACTTCCTCTAAAGAAAAACGAGTCTTCCCTTCAAACCTCTTCTGCCCATCAGAAAGCAGTAAAATATTGAAATTCGATTATCGATTTTAAACTAATTAAACGACAACAATACATTCTCCCTGACTTTTATGTGACCTTAACCTTTTCTCTTTACCCACTTCCTTGTCTTTGATGTCAAGCAATATTGAAAATGAATATATCATTTATGATTGTTCTCAACAAACATGTTATCATTCATATGCATATAAATTACACAAAAACTTTCAAATTATGCAAAATATTTCTCACTCTACTTAAGTTTATTTTCAAATTTGATTTGTCTTTTTCTAAGATGAATACTTAAGTATATATTTTCTAAGGTAATATCTTAAGAACATACACATACTTATTTAGTCTTTAATAGATATAAACTTTACTTAAACATTATTGATTGCTGATACAGAATGTTAACATTGTCAATCATAGTGACCATATACCATGTATTTTGTAAATGTATATTGTACAACGATGTACCATATGTTGTGTACAAGTTGAAAATAAAATCATTTTTCTTCTTCTTCTTCTTTATTGAAATTCTTACTATTAATTTAGTCTTTGTTGCAATCTATACGTTTTACCTTAGACTGACTTTTTATTATGTCGTTGTTTTAACTGTTATTTGTTCACAAGAGGGTACATGTCTGTGTCCTTCATTTTGACAAATTCAAATATATTACCGGCCAGAATTATAGCATTCTTTACGATTCTGAACAGAAAACGTCATCCTTGATCACAGTTTTCTGTTCATACGGTTCTATTACAGTTTTCTGTTCATACGGTCCTATTACAGTTTTATGTTTATACTGAGGTCCTATTACAGTTTTCTGTTCATACGGTCCTATTATAGTTTTCTGTTCATACGGACCTATTACAGTTTTATGTTCATACGGTCCTTTTACAGTTTTATGTTCATACGGTCCGATTTAAGTTTTATGTTCATACGGTCCGATTTAAGTTTTATGTTTTTTAAACTGTTATTTGTTCACAAGAGGGTACATGCCTGTGTCCTTCATTTTGACAAATTCAAAATATATTACCGGCCAGAATTATAGCATTCTTTACGTTTCTGAACAGAAAACGTCATCTTTGATCACAGTTTTATGTTCATACGGTCCAATTAAAGTTTTCTGTTCATACGGTCCTCTAAAATAATTTGAGAAATTGTTATAAACAAATAAATGTTATTGTTCAAATAAATTTAACAAAGGAAGTCAGTAAATTTTGTAACTGCTCGAGCAATAACACAACAGTTAGAAATTATCTAACAATATCGACGATCGAGAATTATTGAGACGTAGGTGGTACTTAACTCCTTATATGACTGATTCAGTTTCAATTGTCATAATTCGGTCTGGTTCCCAGCTCCCGAGACAAAATATTTTAGCCAGAAAACATCAATAAGTAAAGGTCGTATGTTCACTTTGGAATCATATAAAGTCGTAACTGCAGGCTTACAGATACGCCCTTTTAATATTGAGGCAGTTTGTTACATGTTACTGTGAAAATGGTGCGTAAATGGTAGATACGACCTTATTATATAACACATAGAAACAAAGTATATATAAAAACCTTTAACAGTAGGCGTGTAGTGAATTTTAGCCGGCAAAAGGTCCGAAAACGGAAATTGGAGAGAAATAGTACATTATACAATATGAATATATTTGATAGGAATGCAAAAACCTGCACACACTGGTATGAATTAAAGGAGAACAAAACAAAGACGGATAGATTCTCGTGACCATGTGCCTTTTAACACAGTCATTTTAATATCCGTAACTTGGGGTACAGTATAGCCAATCAGAATCACCTTATGAAAAGTGTTATTTTTCAAATAATTTCCAAGTCCTTTTGGCTCGAGTATACAAATGACAAAATCTAAAATTTACTGGTGCCATTTCTTTCCTAAACATCATATCACTGTCACACAACATAATAATCTAGTTTACTTGAAATCTTGACATTAAATACTGCAGTAGAAAAAATAGAAATCAGCATGAAACAACTTAAACTGATTATTTCACAACATATTATACAAACAATATAGAGTTACGACAAAGAAAATCATTTGAAAATATTAAAGCAAAGGTTATTGGAACATCATGTCATTCAAGTACTTCTGGATCACTAAAAACGTATATTCCCTTAAACAAAGGTGCTGATTTTTTAACTTGTATCAATTATTTTCTTCTTCGGAAACATAAGGATCATATACTTTTCATGTTTCATTGCTGAATTAAAATGATTTGTTTCGGATTGTCTTAGATCCGGATTGCCTACATATACTGTACCATTTTAAAACGTTGTCACGGTAGTTTCATTATCAAAAGTTTGCTGTCAAATGACATTACAATAGCAGTAAATCCAGTTTCTTGATTCGAATAATAACACAAATGAATAACGAAACGCATAATTACCAATTGCAAAGTGCTGGTTTATCAATATAAGTCAAACATGAATTTTAAATCATAACTTTAGCACCAATATTTTCAGATTTATCTCCCCTTGAATTTAGAATTTTCCTTTAAAAAAATATTTTTACTATTACTTCTTTATTTCTTTAGGGATCAACTCCATACTTCAAATATATCTTTCTTATTATCAACCACCTCTTATTGGGCACGGTTTATAACTCTAGCACCAATATTGAAAGAATTATCTCCCTATGAACTTATAGATATTTTTTACTTGGAAAATGCCATTTTTTACTATTTTCTTTTAAAATAATAAATCTTTAGTTTTTAAAGTTATCTACCTCAAACTTCAAAAACATATTCCTTATCATCAACCACATCTTATTTGACAATGCTTATAACTTTTGAAGCAATATTTCAAATTTATCTCCCTTTGAACTTGGAATTGCCTTAGGAAATACCATTACTTGTTTAGTTTTTAAGGTATCTACTTCAAATTTCAACATCTTTTCGTATCATTAAACTCATGATCTGTGACAAGGTTAATAACTCTAGCGAGACTATTTCCAGAATTATTCCCCATTGATCTTGGAATTTATGTTAACAAATGTTATTTGTTTATTATAACTTCTTGTCGTATTATTTTGTGCAAAAATACAGAACATTTGAGTCCTTTCTTGATACGGATACAGAAGTATAATTACATCATAATTGATTTTTCTTTCATAGTTTTGTCGTCCTTACTGCGTTAAGTTTAATTAGTCGAGCTTCGTTGTCTCCTTACCTTAGACAACTCTTGTTAACTTTACAGTTGGTACAAATGAGTATGCCATGGTACGTTACTGCATTGTCTTTACTGAGCACTTTCTAAATCGCTCCAACAAAGAATTTATGTTGAAAAAGAACACAATATGGCCACACTTATTGCGTGTATAAATTAAAAACCATTAAAGTTGAAAAAATAGAACATAATACGTTATTTTTTATTGCGTACTAGTTCATGTTTTACAGTTAAAGTGTTGCTGATGTTCTTATTTCAACATTTTACATAAATTAAAGTGTTCTGGTCAGACCAGTCTTTTCAATACTCAGTCATGTGTTGAATATATATTCGATATGTTCAAACAAATTTGACTTACAACTGTAGCAATTGAAACTATTAAAATTATTTGTTTGCCATTACTGTGATTATGTATATAAGGACCTCCAAAATGGGCATAATTCAGAGCGGGTGCTGTGGTACAGTGGTAACACTGTCTGAATAAAAGTTACTTGCTGATTACTTCTCACACAGTAATAATTACTCACTAATTACTTATCATACAGTTATAGTAACTCACTGATTAATTCTCACACAGTAATAATTACTCACTGATAACTTATCATACAGTGGTCATTACTAACTTGAACAATACTCACCGGACAATATTCAAACACTGAACATTACTCAATGAGTACTAAACGCTCACTCACAGCGCCATTATTATTATCAAAAATGTTATTACCAAAGTCGTCGTCGTCGTCGTCGTTAGTAGCTTCATTGTCATCGTCGTCATCATTTTCATCATTACCATCATCATCAGTATCAAAGTATATATGGTTAGGTGCAGTAAAGTTGATTTTTCGAAAAAATAAATGCATTTTTGTTTTAAAATGGACGAGACTTTAAAGTAAAACGAAGTCCCATGTATTTTTGTTAGAGAGGGCCGGTGATTTATTTGAACGAAAAGTCATAATTAGCAATAAAAATAACTACATTTCTATGCCGTTAAGAAGATGGATAAGGCCATTTTGTATAATGTTAGGATAAAAAAATACTTCAAAATGCCCCGAAACACCACATTCGTATCAATGAAACAATTTCAATCGATTTGTTTATGCCAATGTCACTGTGTTTAACTTGTAATGATGACCTGATCTTTACACAAAACTTGTTGGCTATTTAAAAAATTCAGTGTTTCAGTTGGTTAGCATTAATTTTTCTTGAAGATCTGAAAAGAAAATCACACTGAGAGTAGAGTTGTTCAAAACTTGATTTATAAATTTTTTCAATACCTTTAAAATGTCGTCTGCTAGCGGCAACAGATTCTACTTATGCGACCATTGAAAACCATGATGAGTCGTCATATCCGTTCAGTCTGATCATGGTCAGCTTTTCCGTCATTTATTATTTCGATTTTTTTCCGCTAAAAATGATGAATGGTTATGCTCAGACTGAATGAAAGACAAGCCCATTTAAGTTATTTAGCGTTTAAGGGTATCGTTGAATCACGTGATTATCGTTGCACTAAACTCAAGTGTTTGTTGGATTAAGATATATTTTATAAATTTAATACAGATGCAACACAGATTTTAAAAGGGTTGACCAATACACAAGCGGGTCAACATTGCCACATTTATAAGTCACGTGAGTGCTAGAAATGAAACGAGTGAGATACACTTTCCACCAAAACTCTCATATCATTTAGGATGTGTTGATAGATAATTGTTTATTTTTAATGTTATTTTAAGGAATTGACCCAAATTCGTCAGAAGAGCACAAGAAGTACCTAGAATCTCTCTGTAACGACTTTGTGCAGCACATGATTGGCATGGTGGAAAAGTCTGTAGCAGAGAAAGAAAAACTCAAAGATCCTCTGATAGAGGAGTGCCTTCAACACATTCAATTCTGTCAATCCAAATGTGAAGGTTTTAGCGGGAGGGAAGAAACATTAAAGGTAAAATGAACGATTGTTTGTATTCTGCACGATTTATACGAACAAACGATCGATTTATAATGTCACATTACTTTATTTCGCGTAAATCCCATCCCTATATTATTTCGCGTAATTATGAATTCGCGATGGCAGGGTCAGAAATTTTTATTCGCGATTGGTTGAATTTTATTTACGCAATATAACAGGGTAGGTTTACGTTAATTTACATACTGTGCCGCATTTATTCACGGTAAATGTTAATAGTGTAAGTAAGAGACAGTTATTTATTTATTTTGTATATAGAATATACCTACACACATGTTATTGACTTGTTATGAACGGGTTTTCTTATCATTAGTTAAATTTGTTGATTGTTTGCAAAAGCGTATTTGGTAAAACGTTAAATGTTTGTAAGAAGGTGTAATACACTTGTTCATAATATTTTATCTACAATACGTGAATTGTCCGTTGATCACTGTTTTACTGTAAATATATTGTCATCTAAATAAAAGGTGCTCACATTTGACTGTAAAAGGCAAAATTTGTAGATATTGTCTCAAAATAATGTCAGCTTTTTGTACATGATATACATGTATTCAGTCGGAAAAAGGAATTGGAAAAATTTGCTTGTAAAGCTTCATATCTTTATTATGTTGTAAATAAAACATTGCACATACTAATTATTTTGTCATTGTATTGATAATCAAACTTTATAACAATTCGAAAATAATTGTCATCGGTTTTATTTTTTATAATATAGGTTATGATATAAAATTTACGCGGCATCATGAATTCGCGACGCAGCCTATTCGCGATTAATAGCGAAAATTAAAATTTCGCGAAAAATTTACAGTATTACAGCTGACTTTCTGATTTAATGAGTGCAAGGAAATGTTACTAAGCCATGAAATATCTGGCAGGAAGGTTATATTTTCTGACAGTGATTTTATTTCAAATAAAGGGATGCGTAAATTTTTTATAAGAGAATGTTGTCTAAATAAGAGTATATTTTGTTTTTCTTTCAACAAAAATTTGCACTCAAAAAACCCTTAATAAATGATTTCTTCGGGGCAAGTTTAAAATAATGAGACTTTTTATTGTGTGTAAAAAATCTTCGAAAAGCAGTCGAATTAAATAGCAAATGTAGTCCAAATGATTATACTACCCGTTTAGTTTTTGCGATTTTTTTTCTTGTGGGCAATATCTCCCAGATATTGGCGAAAAACAAAAAATATCTCGGAATCTAGCTTCACATGTCAAAATATTTTGACTAGAACGAAATGGTAGAGTAAATCAAGTAATTTGTTGGCTTAATGTGTTAACCACAGATTCCAAGCTTATTTGGAAATGCTTATACTTGTTATAATAAACAATAATAAAAATTGCTATTGTATATTTAAAGAAAATCAAAAGCTATGTGACAGGTTCCGGTGCAGGAGAGAACCAGCCGCTTGTGTTACACGGAACCAGTGGTACCGGAAAAACCTCCATACTCGCCAAAGCAGCTGAGATGGTTAGATCATGGATGAGTACACCGCCTGTTATCATTTTAAGGTAATAAGAAAGAATAGCGCTGTTCTCGTGTTTAAAGGGATTTCGTCACAACACAGGACGCGCTATTCTACTTACGAAATGTAACGCTGTTTTTAGTTAACAATGTGTTTGTCTCAATGCAGGGTTTATATTCTTTATCGAAAGATAACGTTTACCACATGGTTAAAGTGTCTGCGTCCGAACTCTATTTTTTGGTGCCTTTTGGCGGAAAGATATTCAAGGGGGGGACTCGCTTGTTCCTCATGATTAAAGTTCGGTTTTTTTTTAAATGCAAAGATTCTCTGATCAAACCTGTTAAGGCTTTCATAGTATTTTTCCTGTGATCTTATACTCGGGTTTGTTATGTTTACTTACCAACCTTTTCCACATTCAAGTTAAAATGTTTTCAAGGTGAATTCTTAACATTTAAACTAAACATACCCTTACTGACCATGTATCCCGAACATTATTTATACGATCGACATTGATTCACATTTTATATTTTTTTCAAATAAATTTTACTCTTTTAATTCTTAGATTTTTGGGAACATCTCCAGACAGCTCCGATTTGATGTCAATGCTTTATAGCATATGCTCTCAAATAAGACGGGTCTTTAAACAAAGACCACTGCCAAAAACACAGGTTGGTTAAAATGTTTCACTTAGTATGGGAAGACGTAATAGACGGTTTGTTTGAATCTTTATTTTTCAACACAATATAATTTGACAGATGTACCATGCAAAAAAGATGTCGGATACCACAATCTAATTAAAATCAGCTCCTCAATAACGTTATGCCTTAGGTTCTGACGACCACCAATAGGTTGTTACCTCGTAATCTTTCAAAAAGCAAATCATCGGCGAGCTTTCACAATTTTGAAATTTTGGAATAATGATCATGTTTGTGACCTTTTGGCTTGTTTAGAGAATAATAGAAATGATTTTGACAAGATTGTATACGAAATTGATAAAAAAAATATTAATATCAGTGAAGGTATGCAAGCATTTTCGGATGTGATATATAAATGTTCATCTATGATTTTTGGTAAAACAATAACAAAAAATGGTCTTACTAATAGCAAAAAGGGCAAAAATCGATGGTTTAATCAAGAATGTAGGCATTATAAATCACTTTTTTATGAAGCGAGAAGAAGGCTCAATAGAGTAAACACAGAGGAAAACAGAAAACGTATTTTAGAATTAAGGAGCAAATATGATAAAATAAAACATAAAGCTAAAGTAAAGTTTTTCAAGACTGGAAAAAAAATATATTTTCTGATTTAAGTAAAAAATCACCTCGTAAATTTTGGCAGAAATTTAATAAATTCCGAAATAAGAATGAGAGTACAAACTTCGATGTTTCTTTAGACGAGTTTGTTTAATCATTTTGCTAACAAGTCAAGAAAATACAGATATGAATGATTTATAAGTAAATTAAGATGAAATTCATGTAGATTTTTTTAGATACAAAAATCACCAAAGATGAAATCTTTAAAAAAGCGATTTCCTCATGCAATAGAAATAAAGCTGCATCAACGGAATAAAACTGTGGCCGAATTTTTTATCGACGCTAAAGATTTCATTACACCATATTTAGTTAAATTATTTAACATATCTATGATGCAGGGGTTTATCCTGATTCTTGGACCAAGGGGGATAATCTGTCCCCAATTTTACAAAAAGGGTGATAAATCCGATCCTAGTAATTACAGGGGTATTACTCTTGTGAATAGCATGGCTAAACTTTTTTCCCTTGTTTTTAAGAAACAGAATAAACGAATGGTGCGAGACAGAAGATATATTTTGTGAAAATCAGTTTGGTTTCAGAGATTGTATATTTTTATTACATTGTATATCAAAAAGTGTTACATGATAAAAAGAAATTGTATTGCGCTTTTAAAGACTACAAAAAAGCCTTCGATTACAGTTTATAGAGAAGCATTATTTGTTAA